GGTGGAGATGTGATTTTCTCCATTTTCCCCACAATCATTAGTACTGATGATATTACCTAGTCAGGTAATGAAACATCTGCAAGCAAATAACCAGTCTCAGAGAGCACCAATGACTCCATGATTCAACTCTGAGCTACATATGTTCTCTTCTATTGATGAATATCTTTCAGATCCTGAAGTTCTTTGCTTGGGAGCTCTCATTTCAGAAGCAAGTTGAAAAGATCCGGGCTTTGGAATTAAAAGGACTGCTGCACTTTTTCCATCTACAATCAGTTGGCATCTTTGTCTTTTCTTGTGCACCTTTTCTAGTAAGGCAATACAGGGAATGGGAGGGGCATTAAGAAGAGGTAAACAAGTAAATGAAATGTGAAACACAAATAGAAATTTTGCAGTATCTATCAGTATTCATACTGATAGATGTTAGTGAGGATGAGTCCAGCAGCAACTTGGCAATTTCTCACATGGCCTTGTCTTTCTGGGCTTTGGTCTTAACACATGTGCAGGACAGCAGGCTACGGAGGGATAGTCTCTAGCTTGACTAATTTTAATTAAGAGGGATGGCCAAAGTTTGTTGACTTAGAATCAAGACAATTGCCTGTCCTCAGTTAAGACAAAACATTACACTATGAGTTTGGATTGAAGACTGGAAAAGCTGAATGTACTTAGTGCAAATCCATGACCATCCTACTACTACAAAAAAAAAATTCTCAAGGACTGAAGGTTAAATGTATGTCTGACTCACAAAGCAACACAGTTAGAGACGTTTTGCCTTCTCATATTTGTTGCTCTCTAGATACCACGTCAGATTGAGAAAGACTGATTTAGACTAAAGACTCTGAATTGCAAACAGAAATGGACTGCCAACTATAGCTGTAGAGTTAAAGCATTTCTTTTGAGTTAAGTCTATAAAAATAGGCTGATTATTTTCAGAAATAATTATTTTTAACTATAATTAGAATTAGCAAAGGATTAATTTTTAGCTGTTTTAGAGAACACTACATTACTTTATTGATAACCATTTTAATAACCAACAATATATGTTTAAGCATGAATTAGAGAAGCAATTATAGTTTTTATTGCTGATAAGATTTGATAGATCTGGTGTAGAAAGATAATTCTTGTGGCACAAACTAGATATGGATGGGAACATTGTTTTATTAAGATGTTTAAGTAAATATGCTATTTTGGACCTACTGCATATATAGGATGACTCAGAACATATGAACATACTAAAATATGCACTTTCCTGATTTCTGCAATGCAATTTACAGCTTAAAAGCTAGGCACCAACATCAACACATACATTAATATATATCACAGAAAAGTCTTAACTATATTAATGCAGATATTATTATAGAAATACTGTATATGAACGGGCATTTCCTATGAAAATATTTGTTTGCAAATAATGTGCACACTAGAAATAGTATGTACAAAAATTATGCATTACAAATGCTTACCAAAAATATGTGCAATTTTAAAAAAAAACAAAGCAGGAAAGATTTTTATATGGGAGAAAAGTGGAAAAATCCACATCTCGCCCTCATATTCTAAATCTGTCTCCAGCTTGTAGTCTTTCCTTAGTGGGCATTTCTCCAGAATTTTAAGACATTTCTTTAGAAAGTAAATAACCCCAACTCAATCACTTTTCATTTGCTTTTTCCACTTCTGTCACCTAGGTCTCTGTAGCTACCTTTGCTGTCTATGTGATGATAGATGAGAACAACATCTTGGATGCACAGAAGGCCTTCACTTCTATAGCGCTCTTCAATATCCTGCGCTTCCCGCTTGCCATGTTTCCACTGACACTGTCCTCCATGGTGCAAGTGAGCAGCCTTACAAGGAATATATACATCTGGGGAGAAGGAGCCTGATTTCAGAATTAGTGCTGATCTCTTTCCCATTATTTATTTTGTACCATTGGCAAAGAAATTCCATTACAATATGTGTTCAGCATGAGAAGTTATAAATTTAAGCTCAGTCACCTATATATGCTCCTCAATCTGACTTGAAGTATTAAAAACTATCAAATAGATTCTAAGAAGTATCCAACAAGACTGCCTGATGGCTCTGGAGCTACCATCTCTGACTTTGTCTTTTAAATTTTACAGGTGAAAGTATCTACTGATCGACTAGAGCGATACCTGGGTAGTGAAGACCTGAACACTTCAGCTATATGGCATAATTCCACCCCTGGTAAATTAAGTTTAGGGTTCAGACTTGGGTGGTCAAAACAGGTAAAGCTCTGGGAAAAAATATTGCAGAAGGACAAGTCTGTTTGTGCACTGGGTCTGGACTGAGTAGTTCTCTCTCCTTAATGTTGATGTTATCCTTCCTTTGTCTTCCAGCCTGTGCGGTGAAATTTCACGAGGCCTCTTTTGCCTGGGAACAGGATTCTGATGTCACTGTAAAAGAGTAAGTCACCATATAGAGCACAGGTTGGGTTATGGGTGGAATGGGGTTCTTTTTATTCAGTGACATACTGAGTTGGGCAAAACAAACAAACAAACACCTTCTCTTGTTCTTAGAGGATGTCTGGCACTGCTTCATTGGAGACCACGCTCTTTAGCATAGGGACTGACAACAACCATTTTTTAAACTGTCTCCGGGCATTACTTCACATCTGTTTATATGGCATTCTTCTCTACAGCATCACCTTGGAAATTGCTCGTGGAAGCCTTGTAGCCATAGTGGGGTCTGTGGGATCAGGAAAATCTTCATTGATATCTGCCATGTTGGGCGAGATGGAGAACATCAAGGGACACATCAATATTCAGGTGAAGGGAAAACCTTTTGTCCTGAATTAAATATGGACTATGTAATAAATAGAACTAAGTACTCTGGTAGAATCCTGAAGTAAGGTTATTGTTTGGAAGCTCATCTCTGTTTAAAAACAGCAATAAAACAAACGTCCGGTTCCATTCCCAGTAAATAGATAGTTCTATCAGAGAGTTACTATGTTAGCTTATTCCCTTGTAGAGAGATTTCCCACATATCTGAACCTTTGAAAATGTGAATTGTTGCCTGCAGTGAGGGATCCAGGCCAATCCCTCACCTGACTGTTTTTAAAAAGTTACTCTGCCACAGACTTTGCCAGTCTTAAGTACTCAGTGAACATCATTTCTTTTTCCTTGCACTCCTCCTTGACCCAACTGCTGACAAAAGACAATAGTTCTTTCCAGTTATTATCTTAAGTAGCTGGATATTTTTTTTCTTTTTCTTTTAGGGCTCTATGGCCTATGTGCCTCAGCAAGCATGGATACAAAATGCGACTTTGAAAGACAACATCCTTTTTGGGTCCCCCCTCTATGAGGCTCGATATCAACAAGTGTTAGAGGCCTGTGCTTTGCTTCCTGACCTACAATTGCTTCCAGGAGGAGACCTGACTGAGATTGGAGAAAAGGTATCACCACTGAGCTCAATAATCAAAGAAGCACTGAGAGGTAGAGTAGTAGGAGCCAGTATATTAATTAGTTTAATTTCTGCCAGATTTATCAGAAAAATTTTTCACAACCTAACCAGTTTTGTTCTTCTAACTTGAAGAATAACTGGCTAACTCTCTCTAATTGTGCCCAAAAAAATTTCTAACCCTAGCAAACAAATACTATAGGATTCATGATGTAATCATCCTTGATTTAAGTAGCCCTGGAATTAACTTTCTGTGCAAACAATATCACTAGTATGGATCATGGAAAGGTTCAGTGTACTTTCTTCCATAGGGAATTAACTTGAGTGGAGGTCAGAAACAACGTGTTAGCCTGGCTAGAGCTGTGTACAACAATGCGGATACCTACTTATTGGATGATCCCCTCTCAGCTGTGGATTCCCATGTAGGACGGCACATTTTTGACAAAGTGCTTGGGCCAGAAGGACTGTTACAGAATAAGGTAAATTTGCGCTATGGGTTGTGTTTTTGAGTATAGTAGATATTTTTTACTTATTATAAAAATTAATATATGATTCTTTCTTAGAAGAAAATAATAAATCAGACCAGAACATAGCCCATATAGAAAACTTGTCCTGTTCCAGTCCACACAAGCACACAAGCGGGGTTCAACATGTTTATTTCACTCTGTAAAAACCCCTTTGTCATTCCCCAGGTCCCAACCGCAGGTTCAGTCCTTCAGAAGTCTGTTTCCAACAAACAACAGTCCTCTTTGCTTCTAAGGCTTGGGAGTGGGGGGGGGTAACATTAGCCAGGTAAATTGCCCCAACTGTCTTCTTTCAAAGCGCAGCACAGGCAAACATGGTTAAATGAGTTCAAGACACAACAAAGTCAATGCAAAGTCAATAGGTTCAAGGCAGGAGGAAAACAAAATGGAGCCCAAGGAGTCAAGGCACGATAAAGTCAATGGGATGTCAAAAGGTTCAAGACACGAGGAAATCGTCATGCAGTCCAAGGAGTCAAGGCACAATGAAATCAGCAAGTAGCAAGGAGGTTCAAGGCAGAAGGAAGTCAAGAGCATGCACAAAATGACTAATTGTGAATGGCTGCCTCCAACAACCAACCAACCCCCTCTGTCCACTTAAATCAATCCCGGCTGGTGTTTCTCATTAGGCGGGGTGAGGCTGCTTCTTTGCAAGTAGCCTTGCCAACTTCCTCTGTGCCTCTTGGCTTTCGGCTCTCCTTGTCCATGGATCAGGCCGGAACAGCAGCTGTTCTCATCAGAGTTGACCCGCTGCTGATCCACCTCTTGTTCTTATGCTTGCGCAAGCGGCTGCTCGTCCAGTCAAACACTTACCCCACTCCCTGACATTCCCAGAACTGACTCCCAGCTTTCCCCAGTTTTTGGATACCCCACATCTCCCCTTTCTGATGGTCCTGAGTCCAGCTCGTCCTCCTCATCCAAGCTGGCCTCTGGCAGGGACATAACAAAACTAATACTAATCCTCATCCCTAAAAGATATTGGCTGGCTTGGGTACACAGATTTTTTTAAGATTTGGTTTTCCAGCTGGTTTAAAAAGTCAATAAGACTATTCAAATGGCAGACCATTAATCCTAACCTTACCATTTTCCTGAGATTGGATTTCTAAGAAGAATGATTACTAACGAATGACATAAGGTTGTGATGGTTGGCTCTTGTCCCTCACAACAAAAGGCAAGAGAAGGAAAAGAGTAGGCTTGATTGTCTAAGTCAGCAGTTCTCATCAGGGGTCCGTAGGATATTTCAAGGAGGCCCCAGGTGAAAAATGTAAGAAGTAGGCCATGGCATATGCTGAGGGGGCCACAGAACATTTGGCAATGTTGCATACTGAAATTCAGATGGTTGAAAAATATAAGGGAGAGGGAAAGAGACCGAGGGTAGAACACTTATCTAATCATGAAAAGAATTAAGTATCTGAGCAACAATGCTCTATTTTTGAGGAGCCATGGTTGTATTGGGCTTTGGTTATTATTTTGAGAAATGGAAAAGTAGTAGTAGTAGTAGTATTTCTGATATTAAGATTTTGATTCAAGAGATATTTATCTGTTTTTGAAACGGCAATTTTATCCACTAATAAAAAAACTAAACGCAATATCTTCTGCTTTTCTTCTTCATGGAGAAAATCTACCTATCTGGTTGTTAGGAGTTAAAAATGACTTGCTGGCACATAATCAATCAGAAAATTTGCTCCTTTGCCATTAATTTTAGAAACTTTGTAACAATAGAAAATTATAATTTAGTTTTTTAATTTAGATATGTTTTAGTATTGTCTGATATGTGAGGGACATGTGACATGCATAGTTTCCCTCTTTTTAATGTTTGTTACTACTTTCTTTTGTTCCTTTCTTTTCTTTTTTCTACTTCTTTGTATTTATTCATATAAAAATTCATATAAAATTACTTAAGATACATAAATAAACTATTATAAATTTTAAAAATGTCCTTTGAAAAGAGAAAGAGAAAAAAAAATACTGAGGGCATTGAATGCTGTGTACAATCATTGTTTATTTAACATGACCTAAATCTGGGATAGCATGACTAGGAATGCTAAACTATTCTTTGAATTTGTTACACTTATTTGTGTTACAGACACGGATCCTAGTGACTCATAACTTAAACTTCCTTGCACAAGTTGATGATATTGTCGTATTAGAGACTGGATCTGTCACGGAACGTGGTTCCTACAAAACCTTACTGGCAAATAGTGGATCATTTGCTCAGTTGCTCAACACATATGGCAACCAGCAGGATAATATACATGAAGAAGAAGCTATGGGTACGGTAACAATAACTAAAGATACAACATCTACAATTACTCTCATGGCAATAAGATGTAATTTGATGAACTTCAGATTTGCTCAGCTGAGAGCTGTTTCCTTCCTTCTATTCAAACGTCCCATGCTCTTGATTATTTTTAGCAGGCATAGAAGAGCAGGAACTGGATGATTATCCTGAACTTGTAACTGAAGAGGTGCCAGCTGATGTGGTGACTATGACACAGAAGAATGAGGCCAGTGTCCAACAAAAAATCTTCAACCGCAGGTCAGTTCTTTTACAAGCCCATTGTTCCTTTATTCCCTTTCTCCGCTTGTTTTTTCTGCTCTTTTCAGTCACTGGCTTTTTCCCCTTCTTTTTTTTCTGCCCTTTTGTGATTTTTGCATATCTCCTGAACCTGGTCTGGTTATCTTTCTTCATAAATTATTGAAGCATCACTGGAAACAGCTCAGCAACCTAAATTTTATCTTTGCCCTCCTGATGCTGGTTTGTGTCATCCACAGACCATAATTTACAAAGCTTTGTTCTACTGTTTACCATACTGCAGAACACCCACTAGCAACAAATAGAAAGGATAGAAAAGGGATCTTGGACAATTCATTGTTATAGTGACAACTCTATCTATAACTACAGTAATGCCTGGCTTCCACTAATGTTTGTGGCTAAGGAAAAGTTCTCAGACGAAGCAGTGGGAAACTCTCCAAAGTATGCAATTTCAAGAAACTGTTCCATTCTAACACGTTGTGCCACAGAAGTAACTAATAATGACACTCAGCCCCAGTATACCCAGTAAATCACAGTCTTCATGCTTGTCTTATCATAGCTTGCCCTAATATGGGCATCTTCTAGATATATGGGATATGTGTTTATTTTTCCTACCTTAATCCTAACATGCTGAGTAATAAGATAAAACAGAGGGGAAAAAGTAAAATACACCAAATGCGGCTAAAGACCAAAGTAAATTCAATAAATCTTTTTGAAGAGCAGGATTGAAGCCATTCACTCATCCACACATCTTGATAGCACCTAGATTTGAGAAGGTTTCTCTGTCAATTTGCTTGGATGCAAGCTAATCAAGCCAATCTTCTGTGCAATTCTCTGTCACCTTTGCTCTGGTGCTATGTCTTGTTCTACTGTGGACCATAGTTTCATTATGGAACACTACATAGCTTAGTTCCTTCCCTCCTTTCCACAGCCTACCTCTTGGCAGCTCATAATATAACTAAAACAAAATAAAAACACAGTACAAAATAGATAAACAAGGATGGGAATCTGACCACTTAACACACAGATCAACACGCATACACACAAAAACACGTACTGTATAAAACATCCAATAAGGGGCTCCATCCAACCTAACTTGGGAGAACATTCAGGCCTTTTAGAGATTCCAGGATGGCATCAGGGTGGGAGCCATGGGGGATCTCATTCCAGAGGGCAGGTGCTGCAATAGAGAGGGCATGTGTCCTGATAGATGGCACTGTTTAATTGAATGAACTCTGAACAAAGCAACTCCATTAGGTTATATTGGCTGGGCAGAACCTTTGGGAAAGAGCCATCAAGCAACGTGCTCCTCTGGACCTCTTATTAGCCAACCTATAATTTCATCACCGGGTTCCTTTCTGAGCTGTTTTAGGCAAGGGTGCATAGCCATGATGAACCCTTTGGAAGATTTTTTTTTTCAGAAATATTTTTAAAGAGCAGGACAATATAGTGGCAGAGCAGCTGAGATCTAGAAATTCTGCCTTTTACCATTAACATTTCTGTTCTAGCCGCAGTACCAGCAGTAACATATCTATCAGGAAGAGTCATCAAGGGCATTTGAATGACAAGAAAACAATGACAGAGTTTAAAGGACAGAGATTGATTGATAAGGAAGCCATGGAAACTGGCAAGGTAAGAGATGAAGACATGGGAATTTTACACCCTTTTCAAAGAACTATATAGAGATTATTTATGGATGGTAGTGAAGGAATAAAGCATTGTGGGGGTTTCTTTTTGCAATGACTAGACACACTATGATAAATTTACACAACACATTGTTATATCACACAGCTTCCTCAATAAAAGGCTGTTGCATTGGCTGGGCAGGGCTAACTTCATCCTCCTAGCCCAGGGGTAGGCAACTTTGGCTCTTTTATGACTCGTGGACTTCAACTCCCAGAATTCCTGAGCCAGCTGGCTCAGGAATTCTGGGAGTTGAAGTCCATGAGTCATAAAAGAGCCAAGGTTGCCTACCCCTGTCCTAGCCCATATGAGTTGGCTTAACCACATAACCTTTTAGAGCAGGCATGTCCAACCTGCGGCCTGCAGGCCACATATGGCTCTGGACAGCTAGTAATGCAGTTCCACAAGATTGTGAACTTTTAACATTATGTAATATAGTTATATACATTAACTAAATTATATATTTTATATGGGGCCCAAGACAATTCCTCTTCTCTCAATGCTTTAGAGCTTAGTCCTTATTGTTATTAAAGTTACTAAACTGAAATATAGTCCTCTTCAAAAATTCTTGCATTCATTGGAAAGTATGTGCTGCCTCAATGTGGATGCGCCTTATATGCCTACAATTGTGCAGCAAAGTTGTTGCTAGGCTCCAAGCCAGGTTCCAACTCTACTCTAAGCAATGATGCTGTTAAGCAACGAAGCTGAGCTCCTAAGCTCCAGGCAGGATCAAGCCAAGATTGGCTGCTTATTGTGGCTTGTGGTCCTAGCAGTTTACCTTATGTCTTGCCTGTCATTGTTGCACTTACCTAGACGTCATTTTCCATTTCCTCATCTGCTTGCTATGTTCTGCATTAGCTCCCCCTTTTATAGGCTGAGAGGTATGCTAACCTAGCAGACTATGGGCTTCAGCACGGCCCCGAAAAGGCCAAGCTGTGGCTAAAATAGCCGGCTGGGGACACCATTATATCAGTCCAATAGTGTGGCCATGTTGCTCAGTCTGCCTTTCTCTCAGCAGATTCCCCAATTATTCCCCCTCAGATCTCTTGGCAGAGCCAGGACTGTAAAACAATCATGTCCTCTTAGGGCAGGGGTAGGCAACCTTGGCTCTTTTATGACTCGTGGACTTCAACTCCCAGAATTCTGGGAGTTGAAGTCCATGAGTCATAAAAGAGCCAAGGTTGCCTACCCCTGCCTTAGGGGGTTGGGGGATGAACTGAATCTAGCATTGGGAGGGCTTTTGTTTTTGCCTAGCAGCAGCCAATTCCAACCCATGTTTTCAGCATTGCTTTTCCTAAGTGCAGATCACACTTTCAACTTTATTCCTTTATTTTCTTCCTCTCACACCCCTAAGAAAGTGTAATGACAATCTAGTTTTGAGGTCTCGATTCTTGTTTATGTGTGTTTGTACTCTTTTTTTTTGCCATTATCTGATACCTAGTATAAGAACTTTGGGATTTCCACTACAGGCTTCCTGTGAATAGCTCTGTCTTTAGTTATGATATTCTAAGCTGTTTCTATTATATCCATGTCAATCTATTTGTGAGACACAGATTGACTGGAATGTAAGGAGTCTGTAGGATCTGATATTATAAAGTACAAAACAATTGTGCAGTGTATGATTCATAACAATGCTGTGTTATACAGGTGAAGCTATTTACATATGTGCGATACTTTCGTGCTATCGGTTGGGGCCTCTCATTAAGCATCCTCATCGGTTATATTGGACAAACTGCATCCTCCGTTGGTTTCAACCTCTGGCTTAGTGACTGGACGAATGATGCTCTACGCTATGAGAATACGACCTATCCAGCCACAGAACGTGATATGCGTGTTGGAATCTATGGAGTGCTGGGTGCAAGCAACAGTAAGTTTCCCCAAAATCTGACCCCTTGCTATTATCCCTTCCCCTCTCCTCAGACTGGGAAAAACACTTACTCTGTCTCTGGAGGGGCAGAGAATTATCAAAAACAGCAAAAAAAGGCCATCCCATCATCAGCATAATAAATTATGCTATACAAACATATTGGTGGATTCTTTTTGGAGGTTTGAATTCTGTACTTCAAAACAGAATGAATTGAGAGAACATAGCAGAAGACTGAGTTGCATGTTTATAATATCAAGATACAACATAGAAGTCAAATGTATTTTATTCAGAGTACCTTATCAATTATCCCCACCTGCATCAGGGTCTGAACGGTGCTTGTGTTTCTTCTAGGTATCTTCCTGCTGATCTCAACTGCTCTTGCTTCCTTTGGTACTATCCGAGCTTCCCGGCTCCTGCACGATCAGCTCCTCAGTAATATCCTGCGGGTGCCTATGAGTTTCTTTGACTCAACACCAACTGGTCGTATAGTGAACAGATTTGCCAAGGTCAAAACTCTGGCTTTGTGGGAACCTTATAATTGATACAGCCTAAGTACTGGTCATGAGTGAGCCAGTATCTTGAATCTGGGGGTCTCCTAGGTGCAATTCCTATTTGATAAGGAGGTGGCAATTGTGTTCAGGAGGGTTATAATGCAGCTGTTTCTAATGTGTAATTACAGTAATTTCTGGATGACAAAACTCTGCTCACAATCTGTCATCCTCTAGCCATTTTCTCATTTGGATTTGTAATGGAGCCCTCAAAAAGCATTTGGAAACCACAGCTAGTACAAAATGGGCTGGCCAAGTGCTGATGGGTGTTTCCTATTATACTTATGTGACTCCATTGCTTCAGGAGCTGCGTTGGTTGCTAGTTGGCTTCTGGATGCGATTCAAGGTGCTGCTTGTTACCTTCCAGGCCCTACATAGCTATGACCTAGTTATCTTCAGGACTGCCTTCTCTCATAGTCATATGCTTGTCTGATCAAATCAAATAGGCCTTTAGGTTTTAGGACTCCCTCCCTGCAGAAATCTAATCTCCACCTTCCCTCCTGTGTTTCAAAAGAGTCTTTCCTAAATATTTTCTCTTAGGCTAGAGATTTTGCCTTTTTTTGATCTATTTCCTATCACCAGTCAAGAATTTAATTCTTGATTATACTGATACTCAGTCATTATACTTTGCTCAGTCATTTCAATACTGGGTTTCTAATATTCTCCATTCTGGACCAGTTTGGATTTCATGCTGTGCTGTTTCACACATACCCAATTGCTCCATCTACTACAGATAATATAGTAATGAACCGTCCATAAGTAGCCAACCTTTGCTAACATGTGAACATGTTTATCTGAATAAACAAAAGAATAAAACCATTAATAAACAGAAAACTGGCCATGGATGCATTTTCTGATAGCTTCTATATGGAGGAAATTTAAACTAGTCTTCTTATAAGCTCGTCAACCATCACTGATGCCCAATACTACCTTTTAACATTTTGTATTCTGAGATCCTTGAATTGAATGCAGAAAGTTATTTTTTTATAATCCAAGAACAGTTAAGAGATATCCTCACCACTGCATCATTGGAAAGAGGGCTTACAGTATGAAAAGTTTAGAATAAAGGCATAAATTACTTGAATTTGGTATAAAAGTATGGTTAGAATGCATCATCCATTGGCTTCTGCTGACTATTCTTATTTTACTAGTTTTATTTTTATTCTCATCCTCTTTTTTACAGGATATTTTCACTGTGGACGAGACTATTCCAATATCACTTCGCTCCTGGATGAACTGCTTCTTTATGATTCTCAGTACTCTAGTGATAATTTGCTTAGCTACGCCTTATTTTGCAATTATCATCCCGCCTTTGGGAATCGTGTACTACTTCATTCTAGTGAGTTATCAATAGGGGTGGGAATGGATATTCTTGCAATAAAACCTTCAGAGTTCTTAGAGCTTTTACTGAGAAATTCATTTCCAAAATGGCTGCTGCCTGTTTAGATCCAATTCTTTGATGCCTTGTAGAATGTGAAACAAAAGTCAGTGAAAGTCCTGTAGGTTTCAAAACAGGGCAGATTCAGGAATACTTAATACCTTATTATACTCTCAATACTCAGTAACTATTACATTCTAATATTCTTAAATATACTTGACTCTTTTGGATCTCAGTCAGAAAATTTTGACTCCCCATAAATCTTTCTATAAAATAATTCTAAACCGTAACCCTGTTATGGATTTTCTGATGAGTCTTGATGATAATGGAAATGCCATAAATTGAAGAACTAATTGTTTGAACCTTGGGTGTATAAAACAAAAGATAAATTAAATCACATATTCCTAAAATGGAATAGTCCTCTTTTCCTCCCATAATACAGACCTGTCCTAGTGTTTGCTTTGTTCATTTCTGAAATGATATTCCCCTGTAGCTATGATAGTCATAAGATAGTAAAGAACATGTTAAAAGAACAAGGCCAGACTCTGAGGTGAATTGTATGTAAACATACACATCTATGTTGTGGGAAAATAGACCTTTGCTTTAGGAACATTAATTAGAAACCATTTGCTAAAATACAAGAATTATGTGCCAATATAATGTACACTTGAAACCATAGGATGCCAGAGTTTTGTTTTATAAGAATATTAGCTAAAACTGAGAAAAGCAAACGTCAATATGAAGTGTCTTAATAGAGTTTCATGGATCTTGCTGAGCTATCTCTTTCTTCCTAGCAATTCTATGTGGCTACATCCCGCCAGCTACGACGTTTGGACTCTGTCACCAGGTCTCCAATTTATTCCCATTTTGGTGAGACAGTATCTGGTCTCTCTGTCATCCGGGCCTTTGGGCATCAGGAGCGCTTCCTGCAGCACAATGAGAAGATTGTGGATATGAATCAGAAGTCTGTTTACTCTTGGCTTGTTTCCAACAGGCAAGTCTCTCCTGTAGAAGATATAAATCTAGGACATAGGTTGCCAGGTTTTTTTTCCACTGCCATCATGAAAGACAATTGGTCTCCCATCCTCAACTGCTGAATTGTCCCCAGATCTTACGACATTTTGCAATATTCTAGTCTAGTTGGGAGCATGATCTTATAGGTACATTTAGCCAGTTTCTGGCCTTTGCTCTAATATGGACCATTCATTCTCAAGTAGCATCAGTAGATAATCTTCCTAAGGTTAACTTTCAGAATAGAAAATAGAATAGAATAGAATGGTAGAATAGAATAGAATAGAATAGAATAGAATAGAATAGAATAGAATTAGAATAGAATAGAATTAGAATTAGAATTAGAATAGAATAGAATAGAATAGAATAGAATAGAATAGAATAGAAACTTTATTTGGCCAAGTATGCTTAGACAAACAAGGAATTTGTCTCCAGTACAGAAGCACTCCCTATACTTGCAAAACAACACAGAAAAAAATAATACTAAAACTGTGCAGCCAGTAGAAGGGAGAAATAAGACATAATTGGATAAATAATACTTTATTGAGAAATATATAAGTAGTCCTCGACTTATGCCCATAATTGAGCCCAAAATTTCACTGCTAAGTGAGACATTTATTAAGTGAGTTTTGCTCAATTTTACGACCTTTCTGGCCACAGTTGTTAAGTGAATCACTGCAGTTGTTAAGTCACAGAGGCTAGAGTCTCTTAACTTCCCCACTGACTTTGCTTGTCAGAAGGCTGCAAAAGGGGATCACATGATCCCAGGACAGTGCAACCGTCATAAATATGAAGCAGTTGCCTAGTGTCTGAATTTTGATCATGTGACCATGGGGATGCTGTAACAGTCATAAGTTTGAAAAAATGGTCGTAAATCACTGTTTTCAGTGCCATTGTAACTTTGAGCAGTCCTTAAATGAACTGTTATAAGTTGAGGACTCTCTGTGGTATGAACCAGATATTTAGGAGGTCAGGAGAAGGTATGTAGGGGCCGCTTCTGTAGCAAGTCAATGCGGGAGATTAATATGAGGTTATTCTGAAACAATCACTCCTTTACAAAGCAGTCAAGATTGCTTATGAGATGTCATAGATTCTCATTATCTCTCTTTCTAAAGGTGGCTGGCTGTGCGACTAGAATTGGTGGGGAATTTGACAATTTTCTTTGCGGCACTTCTAGCAGTCTTTGTTAAAGATTCCTTGAACAGTGGCATTGTGGGACTCTCAATCTCCTCGGCTCTGAATGTGAGTAACTGAGACTCATATTCTAAGACAAAGAGATAGCTGAATGGGGGGGGGGGGCTTGCAGTGTATGTGTACTGACATGTCTGTTGTAACAGTTCTAATTGTAAATCTATCTGGCTGCAATCCTCCTAAGCCTGGGCTTCAGACACCATTTTTATTGCAAATCCATTGTGATAGTACAGTACTACTAACAATAAGAGAAATATCAAGCCGGTAAACTTTAAATGTGATGCTCAATTGACCGTATGATTAATTCTGACAGTAAAATTCATATACCTATTAGAAATTAGACATTCTCAGATGAAATCAGTGGGCTTATAAATCAGTTCATAATCATTAAGAAGAAAGTGGAATGAGACAAATAAGATCTTTTCTTGGAAACTTGGTAACTAACCCTGACCACATGCAACTGAAGCCCTCCAAATCCCCTGAATTTGAACTCCCAGCAGCCCAGTGTAACCCAGATACTGAATAGTGAAAAATGCCAAGAATTCTAGTTCAGGAACATTTCGAAAGTTTCAAGTTCCCATATTTGCATTGCCCAAAATGTTGAAGTTATTCCCCTGGAGGCTTAGAAGAAGAAACTATGATGCTTGTAGTAAAATAAGTGAATATGGACGTGATGTTGGGGGTCTATAAATTGCCTCCAAATGGAATATATTCAGTGTAAGTATTTGATCAGAGAGAGGGAATTGAAGAAGCAGAATGATTATAGTGATACCTCTATTCATTTATTTAGATAACTCAAACTCTGAACTGGTTGGTGCGAATGACATCGGAGCTGGAGACAAACATTGTGGCTGTAGAGAGAGTGCATGAATACACAGAAATTGCAAACGAGGTACAGAAAATGGAACTGTGCAAATAATAAGAGATATATTTGTATACATGTGTGAGATGAAGAGATGTGTGAAATTGTTCTAAGCATATTCTTCTAATGGTCATCTTCCCTTGTGTAGGCACCATGGGTGACAACACAGAGACCACCTTCTCAGTGGCCCAACAATGGAGAGATCACTTTTATGGACTATAAAGTTCGGTATCGGCCTGAGCTAGAGCTAGTTCTAAATGGGATCAACTGTGGTATCAAGGGTACTGAGAAGGTGAGATGTCTTGGGGAAAGGCATTGATGGAGCTTTCAAGGTTTTATTGAGGATGGGTATGGTCCAGAAGGAGAAAGAAGAATGTAATCAAGGGGAGATAAAATGGGAAAAGGCTTGGCCTTACTGGGCCTACATTCCATATATTAATTTATGCTAAATTGCTCAGATATCAAGAATGACCTTTTCCCCCCTGAAAGCAAAGCAACAGTTATTGAGCAATCTGCTATGGAGTTACTTGGCAAGAGCAGGAATGGAGGTTGTAAACTGAGTTGGATCACAGAAACAGGCCACAAGAAGAGGGAAATTTAAAGCTTTATCAGACATCTAATTCCTGGTATTCTGCCTTCTCAGATCGGTGTGGTGGGCCGAACAGGAGCTGGGAAATCCTCCCTCACAAATTGCCTCTTTCGCATTTTGGAAGCAGCTGGAGGAAAGATCTTAATCGATGGACTTGATATAGCAACCCTTGGCCTTCATGACCTACGTGAGAAACTCACTATCATCCCACAGGTAAAAAAACAACAACCCTAGAGCAATGCTGGCTCAGGAATTCTGGGAGCTGAAGTCCACGAGCCATAAAAGAGCCAAGGTTGCCTACCCCTGCCCTAGAGCATCAGACCGAAAATGCTGGGATACAGGATTTGACTGGTTGATTGCATGAATACCGTACCAAACTCCATCTGCAGATTGTAGTAATGGGGGCAAAAGGGATAAGAGAGGTGTTCCTTTTTTTAACCAGCTTGCGATTACTACTTCCTTTGGAATAGGTGCTGACATGGGATCTAGGCAATTTAAATTACCCTTTTGAATTCCAGAAGTGAGTGAAGGAGGCTGAAGAGCTGAAGAAACTTATTAACTGTATTATTCAATTATTCAACTTATCAATTCAATTATTCAAAGAGGTAGCTAATACTATAGCTACCTCTTCTACATATAGGCTGGGTTTACACAACATGGCTTATCAGTTAAAAGAGTTGAGATATGTCTGTGTGATAGATTAGTTTGTTCTGCAAACCCACACCATTTGGGTAACTTATGATACAATGTATTATGAAAGGAATAACACAGTAGGCTAATTCAGCTACTACATAAAGTATATTACCTGCTCTGGATATAGCTGTGAGCCTTGCAAGGTAGTCCATACAAGAAGCACATCCAAGATTAATAGCTCTATCTTTACGGTAAGTTACATTATCTCCCCAACCTTTACAATCCAAGAACTAGGGAGGGTCACTTCTGAGATATTTGTCACTTACCCTTTTTTTGTGTGGACTCAGCTGCCTCTTATCTGACCATAGCCTAGCCTGCAGATCTTCCTTCTGTCATACCCAATACCATTACAGTAGCGGAAAGCAATTTCAGCGGGTTAAATACTAATGCTTCTCTACTTCTACTCTTACCTCAACTTATCTTAGCCATCGTTCTTAACCAAAGTAGCCTTAACTAAAATGCCTTGTATCTACATTTTCAGGATCCTATTCTCTTTTCGGGGAGCTTGCGTATGAATCTGGATCCATTTGATCAGTATTCAGACGAAGACATCTGGCATGCTCTAGAATTGGCACACCTGAAGTCCTATGTACAAGCTCTACCTGAAGGGTTGTCTTCTCCAGTGAGTGAAGGAGGAGAGAACTTGAGGTATAGGAAATTAGTGAAAATGGCCAAGAGCTGATGTCATCTTAAGATACCATACATGCTTGAGCTATTCAAGTACCTCCTTATTTGGCATTATTCTCTAGTTCAGCCTGGCTTGACTGATGGAGAGTATTTCTGGACTGTTTATTTCAGTTTCTTGTAAATTATTTGCATTAATTTTGGTAGTAGCATCAATAATCAATTTTATTTGTGTGTCCCTCTTCCTCCCCCACCCTCCAGTGTGGGGCAGAGGCAGCTTGTATGCCTGGCACGAGCCCTGCTTCGTAAAACCAAAATCTTGATTCTGGATGAAGCAACAGCTGCTGTAGACATGGAAACTGATCACTTGATCCAAGAGACAATCCGAAGTGAGTTTGCCAACTGCACCGTAATCACCATTGCCCATCGGTTACATACCATCATGGACAGCCATAGGTAAAGTATGTGTGTGTGTGTGTGCGTGTGTGTGTGTGTGTGAACCAACATTTACACAGCCAAGTACACAGGAGTGGAGTATTTCTATCATGCACACCCAAAAGGCCAAAACTTCATGCAGAATAGCAGTGGGAGGCAGCAATGAAATCCATGATAGAGGATATACAGGGATGAAAGTTCTGCGACAACAGGATTGTGTGGAGCATCCAAAAATTCTGTAGTAAAAGTAGTTAAAATACACCTTCCCTCATGCATGCTCCTAAAAGAAATATAAATATAGTATAGAGCTCTAAAAATAACACGAAGTCTAAGGAATTATAATCTATTTCAAATGTACATATGTCGAAATAGGATCAAAAACAAAAACAAGATTTGAGATCCATTAGTACGTTTTTTTTTTAAATGGATGGATTTCTGAGATAAGCCAGCAGAGAAATACTTTGGCAGGCAGAATATACCTTTTAGAAAAAGAATTAAAACATACTTAGCAAAACAATAACAACAAAAAAATACTTGAAAGCCAGAATGTACATAACCTGTTCAAACCAGCTATTTTTTCCCCCTTGAGGAAAGCTATTCTCTTCAGGTTGGATTCTAGCAACAAATTCACAAAAAAGTAGAAGAGAATTATGGATTTCTCTCAAGTATTTTAACTTTATTTTGTATTCATGGCAAGATGGTAAGCTGCTACAAAAGCAGTGTTAGAAAACATGCCGTGATCTCATTAAGTCCATTTTACACCATTCAGTGCTTCGTAAGTAGAAAGCAATAAAGGTCCAGAAGCTTTCAGAGCTCAACATTTTGGCAGAAACACTGAACCTGTAATGCTTTGGTATAGATACATTCTTCACCTTATAAGTTAACATAAATAACGTATTAGCTCTTGAATGCAAGTCAGTATTCATTTTCACTGACACGATGAAGTATACATCAACTATAGAAATGTCTGTTCCTTTTGTAAACAAAAAACTGAAAAAAAGCAAGCAAGAAGGAAATGGTTAGCTTAAGACACCTGGAAAGACATTAGGAAATGTGTAGGCCATGTGGCTACCTCAAATTCTATATGATATGAATACTATTGGTTCTCGATAATAAGGCCCAAGAACATCCAAAGAAATTGAATGCTGGAGGATTGAAACAAAAATTGAGCTATGCACTTTTCTACCATCAGATATTAACAGTGGCCATCAAGTAACTCTAAAAGTGGATTAGACAAACTCTAAGCAGATTAAGCTATCACTGGTAATTAGTCATGCTGACTATATAGTGTTCCAGGTAGTAAGCCTCTCTGTACCACTTGCTGGAGAACCTAATTAGGGGGGTAATCAGTTAGCACAGTGGTTCTCAACCTTTTTAATGCTGCGACCCCAACCGGTCGTAAGTCGAGGACTAAACCGATCGTAAGTCGAGGACTAAACCGGTCATAAGTCGAGGACTACCCAACTGGTCGTAAGTCAAGGACTTTCCCTGCCCGGGAGCGCCACGCATGCATGGTTCTGCCCCTGCGCCGGCTGAGGCGTAGCTGGCAAGCGGCAGAGACGGAGCAGGCCGACTACCAGCTGGCCCAGCCCAAGGGAGGTAAGGCACCCGCCGGAAAAGGGGGGGAAAATGGCGGACAAAAAAAATGGCGGACAGCCTTGCTTGGCGATCCCCATGAAATGGTCGATCGACCCCAAATGGGGTCCCAACCCACAGGTTGAGAACCACTGAGTTAGCATTTCCTAGGCATCTTCCAAAGGGGTTCCACATTTTAAAATTTTGCTGGCTGTTAGGCTATGTAAGAATAATTTATAACTGTGCCCCATCTTTCCTTCCTGCTGTTATCTAAAATAACAGGGGACTGGCATCTAATGAAAGAAAACCCAACACAATACTGTATTTTGGAGAGTAAACTATTGTGCTGTTGCTGTTTTCACCATTAAGCTCCAGACTCTTGCTAAGACCATGAGCAGGAGCAGTTAGATGGCTAGAATACACTCAAATGTCCGGTTGCACACTTCACTTGGTTTCCCTTTATCATTTTGATTCCTGCTGAAACTGGATCGATAGTATCCAATCAACTCCTTTCTTCTGATTACCCTTTAAACATTAGACGACTTATGTGATGCATGTAAATATTGAATATTGAAACATTCCCAAATTTATATTGGTTTTTTTTCCTGTTCTAGGGTGATGGTACTTCAGGAAGGAAAGATTGTAGAATTTGACAGCCCTGAACAGCTGCTTGAACAGCAAGGCATCTTTGCAGGGATGGTCAGGGAAGCCGGCATAACAAGAAGTCAGGACACGGCACTTTAGAGGAATGGGAGTTCAAGGCAGAAAAATCACCGGCAATTTCCGCAGCATTGCAATTTTGCTTGATCTGCGACTGGCACAATATGAAAAATGTTACCAATGCTGCTAGTGCCATTTACTCTTAAAACACAATAATTTATTGAGCATTTCCTGATACTTAAGGCAGCTTTATTACTTTTTGGTCAGCATCAGCATGTGCTTGTTTACCTGGAAAGAAATTGAGGCTAGGCATCGTGCTAAAATGTTACCACAGGGTCACTATGTGAAAACAAGGAATAAAATGTGGGAAACTATTCTAAGCAATCCAGATTTCATACTCTCCTTGCATGTATGTTGTATATAGTTTTTGAAGGTTGGCTTTTATATTATTATCCTTAGAGGCACCATTCCCCAATCTGGTGTCTTCAAGTAAGCTGAGTTATTGTCCTGTATGCTGGCTAAAGATCTAGAACAGTGGTGGCGAACCTATGGCACGCGTGCCACAAGTGGCACGCAGAGCCCTTTCCGTGGGCACGCGCGCCGTTGCCCCAATCTTAAGTCTTCAGCTGGGTTTTATAAAACCTTTTCGCTTTAGGCTTCCATCGCCGTGTGTAAAAAAAAAAAGGTTCAATCAATCAATTTCAACTTCTCGCGGGAAAAAAGATCTCGCAAAGTTGGAATTGATTGAACTTTTTAGACCCACCCAGTCTGCCGCTACCACTGCAGCTACGCCCACCCAATGGGCCATGCCCATCCAATTGGCCACACCCACCCAATGGGCCACACCCACCTGGCACCCGATGATACATATAGTAAGTGGGTTTTGGGTTGCAGTTTGGGCACTCGGTCTCTAAAAGGTTCACCATCACTGATCTAGAAGATGCAAGCCAACAGTGGGAGATAGCATAGTGAAGCCGGCTACTAGCAGATTATTTTCAAACTTTTGGTCTTTATTAAAAAAAATTGAAGGTCATAAAAAGATTCCAGAAGTATTTTGACTTATCAAAATGCTTGTAAGATAAATTTCTCTTATTTAGTTTTTGATATATACTTTTACCAGTTATTACTGGACTTAAAAAAGTAACCTTTTATAATTATTTATAAAATTTATATAGCCATCCATCTCCCCCAAAGGAGACTCTGGGCAGCATACATAATAGCCTCTAGTTAGATTACCTGAATATGGAAAATAATTTGTATACTAGGAGAAGGAGCATTGTTTCTGTCCAAAATAAATACAAGTAATATGAGAAATATATTTTATTTACACAACAGCAACTCAAGCAAGTTACTCAGGAAGCAAAATGCAGCTTTTACATTCTGCTGTTTCCCCCAGAGCATAAATGCTCCCCTTCCAACTCTGACCTGAGTCAGGGACAAAAGAATGGCAGCCTTGCCCTTACTCAGATACTGCAGCGTGCAAGATGAGCACCAAACCTGTCTAAGGTTGAACCAAAGAATTATTTTGCCCAACAGCAAACAGTGTTAACTAATACTGAGAGAGGGAAATGACACATGGAATACTTGCTTCTTGGTGGCAATATTCAGCAACTTCTCTGAACCCTGTCTTTCTGTTAGGCTCTCTCCTTACAGGGCTGAAGATACATGGTTTCACAAAGGGCAGCTATTTGCCATAACTATTAGTAGGTTCAGCTATACTACACCTTTGAACACCAGCTGCTGGAGGGCAACAGTAAGATTGGGCCTTAAGAGGCTATTTTATTTGTTTCTTTATGTCCTGCCTTTATTATTTTTATAAATAATTCAAGGCAGCAAACATACCTAATACTCCTTTGGTGATCCTTCTGAAATACTGGACTGAGACCTTCATTATCTTAACTGGTTCCCTTCTCATGCTTTTGTACCAATAGTCAGATTTCTCTCTTGGCTGCAGGATTTCCAGCTAGTTTACAATCCAGTTAGTGGACTGAATGTCTATCTCAAATGGAAATATGAGCTCCACACAGCACTGCTAAGAGGAAGACAAGGCTGTCTCGGGCTGTCCAGTAAGAGCATTGCATTCAACTTTGATGGAAACTAGGTCCAACTCCCCACAGAAATATACTGAAATCTAAACTTTCAGAGGAATGGAGTGGATGCAATAGTATGCCCTTGCATGATAGTTATAAAGGCACCAGTTTGTGACATCTCCTATGCCAACATCTCACGTGTACTCAGTCTTGCGAATGTAACTGGATGGTACATAGCCCTGTTTCCCATGTGCCTCTGCCAGCCACCATTCCTGATTGCCAGTTATGTCTTCAAATTGTAGAATCTTTAGTCTTTGATTGGCTGTTACACTCAGTTCATTTGAATTGCGGCCCTTAAAGGTATAAAGGGCATAATAGACCTGGAAGCAGAAAATATAGGAAGGAGGTGAGAAAGAACACAGAACAAAACCAATTGCTATCTTCACTCTGGGCCAACCAGAACAACCAGGCACCTCCCAAATTGTTCTTTTTATTATGCTATAAAATGCTTTGGGACCTCTCTCTCTCTCCCCCTCCTCCTCTCAAGTAGAAAACCTGTTTCCAGAGTAGATCCATATACATTTGCATTTCTTTAAGCAAAGTATTAGTCATCCAAAATACTGCATCATTAAGAAGATATTAGCTATAGAACAGGGGTCTTCAAACTTGGCCCTTTTATGACTTCTGGACTTCAACTCCCAGCATTCCTCAGCCAGCGTGCTTGGCTGAGGAATTCTGGGAGTTGAGGTCCACAAGTCATAAAAGGATCAGGTTTGAAGACCCTTGCTGTAGAATTTAGCTAGCCAATTTAGAATTGACATACTGGTCTTGTTCAAACTCTAAAGCAGAATTGGGTTTGACTCATTTTGGCTTTGTCCAATGTGTGAATCCAGTCATTTCTGGCTTTTGATAAATTTTGATTAAACAAAATTTAAAATATATATGAATCAGGCCATTAAGAGCAATGGGCATGTGTCTACAGATGTTTCTGCCCCACTCACCTGATTTCCCACACACTCACTGCTCTTCAGCCTTAAGTTGTCCACTGATGGGGTTGGCCTTGCCTTGTACCGGGCTTGGTGCCCATTTTGTGCATCTGGATTACTGTGTCGCCGAGATGATGGAGGATTGCGGGATGGCTGTGCAGATTCCACAGTGGGACCCATCTGGAGCTGGCAAACAGCATCCACCTCTGAGAGAGTCTGAACAGAATTAATCAGATTGCCTTGGATGCCAGAGTCCTCTGGAGGCTTGTGCGGGCTGTTACCAGATGTGATGGTCAAAATGCTGTTTGGTGTACTGATTCCATGGGATGAGGAAGAACCGCTTAGTTCAGATTCACCGGATGAATGACTGCCCACAGAGACATCTGAGTGGCTACAGCGTGGATTGTAAGGTTTCAGAAAGGAGCTGTACACAAAGCCCTTTGTCACTGTAGAGATGGGGCAAGGAAGAAAATAATCACTAATGCTAAACATAATAAAGTTGGGAACAGGGCCTAGGCTGAGGTTCAGAAACATTTTCACTCACCTCCATTGTCAATAAGCCAACGATTCTGACTGCCCATAGGATCCTTTTTCTTGAGAACACCCACAAGATCCCCCTCCAATAATGACACATCCAGCTCTTGAGCTGCATTGAAGTTACGCTCAGCCTGAAATAGCTTCTCAGGAGGATAGCGGGCCAGGATAACTGCTCGCAGCTCATCTGATTGTAGCATGTAACTGGGCTACGAGGGAAACAACAACTTCAATGAAGGGGAAGGGAACAATCCAGGTATCTTTAGTTCTTTGCTCAGACTCATCTTTAAAATGTGAGTACCATATTAGATCAGCCAAAGAGCTTCATGTAGTACAGTTGGAGTATTACATTTTAAAAGCTCACACACATGATTTGAGGGGCTGGGATGACAGAACTTTTGTTGTTGCTCCCAACAATGGGCTTTTAAAGTATACTATTTGTGAGTCAAAAGGTAAAGTACAGCCAGTGATTAGTAATAGCCTGGACCTCCATGAAATTATCCAAACTTTTTTTTAAACCTTCTTCTTTAGCGACTCTTAGCGTATCTGATGGCAATGAATCCCACAGATTCTCTTATTTACTCTTCTCAATATCGGGAAGAATGCATTAAGCCCTCAACTACTCTTCACTCTGACCATACTGATGTTAATGACATACTTCCACCTCTAGAGGGCAGCCTTTCACCTCTTGTTACTTGCATAGAGCTCACCATGCCCAGAAGGGGTTGTTTTCGCACTGACTGGCGCTCCAGGCTTTTTCTTTCAAAGGGCTTTTTAGTGGTAGCAACGCTCTCCGGAAAGAAGGTGAAGACTTGCAGTTGCTGGAGGACTCTACTATGCTCTTCCTGGAAGATGGCAATGAGATTCCCTTCCCTGCCAACCACTTGCAGCAGCTGAGATAGAGGAAAGCGATATTAGACGCAAGTCAGCAAAGGACAATTTTAGATAAATTCTGCTCAGTAAACAACCAACTATATTCAGAGTAATCGTGAAGATGATTCAATGATTCCAAAACAGTGAGGATTACTTTTCCTCTCTTCCATGTTAGTGGAGAGGTAATCAGTAATAATAATTCTACCATGGATCTCCTCCATTTCATTTAAAGGTCTGTGTGCTCAGTGAAAACATGCCTTAAAAGTGAAAAAGATGGAGAAGAAAACCAGGAAGTATCATGCTCTTTCCTTCCGTTCTCATGGAGAGAACACCGGCCATGCCAGCTACTCGCAGTTTCTGTACTTACTGAGAGCAAAGGCTGAAGTTCCTGCAGTGCTAGGCGTACAAAGTCACAGTGAGCCTCGGCATAGCTGCGCAGGCAGCTAGTGAAAAGTTCCTTGGCACAACACTGAAATTTGGGCAGTTCATCCAGCAGCTGGGTGTTCAAGGCTTCGTAATTGTTGCGGGCTGACTGTAATTCTTCCAAGGTCCGTTTGTCCTTCAATCTTTCTGCACGCTCTGTGCATGTGTGGAAATCCAGGAGCTTGTCAAAGCGTTTCTGCACCAGTTTGTGAGGCCCAGCAAACATGTTCAGCAGCTGATTCAGAGGGGTTATCACTAGACGCTCAGTGCGCTTCTTCTGCAAAGCAGAGAGCAACAATCAGACCTATGCATCATACTGTGGCCTTTCCCACTCTGCCAAATTACGTTGATGAATTCAGTGTAAACTGAAGAAAAAAAGTATACAATCATTTCATTTATAGTAGTATATAAGTATTAGTATTAGATAGTATTTCATTTATGCTATCCTCAGGAGCCCTGGTGATGCAGTCGTTAGAATGTAGTACTGCAGGCAAATTCTGCCCGCAGCCTGGAGTTCAATCCTGATGGGACTCAAGGTTGACTCAGCCCTCCATCCTTCCGAGGTTGGTACAA